AATCGCCGCATACTCAATATCACTGATTCGTAAAGTGCATTAGAAAGTTTAAAGAAAATATACCTCAACAACCAGATAGTCAGAGACATAAAGGGGAAACTGTAGGACCTCAGGCAAACACACATCACAGTTGATTTCTTTTGGGTCCCTTCTCATGTTGGAATAGCTGGAAATGAAGCATCGGTACGTTGCCGAATCCTCTGCTATGGGACAATCACCCTACCCGACATCAAGAACCGCATCAAGAATTACAATTGGGCACTATGGCAAAATCGATGGAACCAGGACAGTGGTGGCAAGCTATACAAAATAAAACTAGATGTCAAGACCGTGCTTTCGGCCTCAGTCAACAGAAGGGACCAGATGGTCATCTCTCGACTAAGAATAGAACACACGGTGCGTCACCTGCAACACATCTCTAAGAGTGAAACATACTCTAGTGGAGTGTATAATATTATCACTTATTTTAAAATTGTACTAACGAATGTCCTAAAACTTTTGACACAAAATATTTATCGGATTTTTTTTAATGGAGAAATTTATTCAAACATCAGAAATTACAATTCAATACTTAACTAAACCATACTACCAAATTATGTGGAGTGGGCCATTCTGCACTACCCTTACTTCAATTGTCTCTCATGAGGTCCTGGACAGAATTCAGATCCATTTCTCTTAGTTTTTGGTAAATTTGCCGTCTAAGTTGTTCTTCATCTTGGCTTCCCAGCCTCCACGATGAATGTTCCTAGAGAGTAAAGCCCAAAAACCCTCTATTAAGCGAGCCTGCGGCAAGTTTGAAAAATTATCGTGATGTTGGTGGATAAACTAAAGCAATTTGGCAGTTACCAATATAGCTCTCGCTATTCAAAGCTTCACCTCTCGCTCTTCCCACAAAAGGTTGGGATACACCCTTGTTAGAAATTGCGCACCAGACAAGGATTTCATCTGCAAACCTCGCTTTATGCTTGTATCTAACATTGTCAGGGCATTCCTCTACGTTATCCGCATGAAATCCCTCGTTTCCGTTCATTTCTGAATTACTCAAAGTGAAATACTGTTCGTCATCTAAAACAATGATTTTTCCATTGGCAACAGCTTTGGGTACATGCCCGACCAACTTGTAGATACTTGTAGATATGACATCTTAAAGCGAAAACTTCAAAAGTAAACAAACTTTTGTTTCCAAAGGCAACTTGATATTATTTTATTTTTGTTGAAATTAAAGCCTTTTTACGTTATATTGCACTATAACCCAGTATCTATCCAACGCTAATAACCCTGCGTGGTTGATGCGGTATTTTAATAAAATAGATAATAGTTTCAAAAACGAAAATGCACGCTTTTATAGCTAACCGAACTAACAAGCAGAAAATAATTTTCAATTACAAAGAGTTTATATTACAGTAGTAGACGGTCGAACAAGCAAACATAATTAATGACCTCAAAATAAAATTATAATAAAGTTTAAGTTATTAACAGAATAATTCATATCAGAGTGAATAGCGTGGGCGCTTGATATATTAAGGGCCGATTTCACCAACATCAATATTATGGACCAATAGGAAAATACCTTATCGAAATGCAATTTGACGCAAGCTGTCAAAGGTCTCAGAATATCAGTGATTTCTATTAAAATGTTGAATAAAATCGTGAAAATTCGACTGTATTATAAACAAGACCACTTTTTGATTCCAACATGAGGTTTTGTACAGAGAAAACAGGACAACTTTCATGTATTTTGATTTATGTTATAGGTGTACATTTGACCATCCGTTATCCCCTCAGCGAATGGGAATGGGAGAAATAATAGGTAGATTTTCTAGCTGTTAAATTTGGCAGCAGGTTTGGTCGTTTGTTAATTCATGGCAATCTCGAAATTTGTTAAGTTCAGTATGCTGTGTGTATATATGATCATTATAGCTACACATACCTGTTGGATTGTGCGGATTTGCAAGAAAATAGAATATAAAATGTATTCCAACCAATTTCTCATCTCTCTTTACATCATAATAGTAATCATTTGTTATAAAGTCATGGGTTAATGAATTTCTTCAAAGCAATCAAAACAGTATGGTCGTCCCCATCCTAAAACACCGATGTGTGTAAAACATCTTAATCCCTACATCTCCGAGGTGCATAATGCAATAATTGTAGACATAGACCTAAAATTATTAGTAATTACTGAAAAATAAGAGCTAAAAAGAATTATAAATAGTGATACAATATTGGTGGTTCAGGTTTTTGACTGGTGACTGGTGGGCGATAAAATATTTTTCTTTCTACCATGAATGCGTGGAAAAAACAAAATAAGGAGAGATCTAAAATAAGGAGTTATTGAAGGCCTAAAGTAGCCAGGCGCTAATAATTCCTGGCCGTATTTGAATATCTAAGTAGGCACAGTAAAACAAAAATAAGACTTGGTATTAATAAAGTTCATTTCGACAGTTGGCAGAGTTTGCTCCACTGGGGCACTGGGACGAAGTGTTGACGGATCTCACAGAATTATGTGTCACTTGTCGATAAGGTTAGTTTTAAAATATCAGGAGATAATCAGCTGTCATTCAAATCAGTGTATATGTTTTGTGATTCAAATAACGTCTAATATAAATATAACCCAGAATATGTACTCAGTGAAAAAAGAAAAATATTGCAAATTTCTAGTTTTTCTGCAGGTTTTCGGTTTGCTGGTAGCTCTACGACATATACGAGTATTTGGGTATTCATTAATAGCTGTGAATATAGTGTGGATGTTTGTTAAGTTCCTGAACAACAAAAAATATTCAACTTTATGGATGTATGGATATTAAAAAACCAGAATGGTTTTGTGGGAATATCAATCTAAGGTTCCATAATGGTTCTGATGAACTGCAAGTAAATGAATGAATGTTTGGAAACGAGCAATATCTATGAACTTTTTGGTAGAGCCAGTCATCAAGTAGGTGCTTAATGGCTATCTGCAAGAGGTTTATAGGAAAACAAAAACACGGGAGATGTTAAATCAGTAAAATCGAATATCAATTGGAAAAAATAATATAAACTTGAATAAAAACTCAACAATAGTAATTAAAACATGAATTTTATTCAAAAATCAAACATTTCTCTAAATTTTAATTGAATTATATGTAATTTCTTAATATTCAATAAGCTGATGATGTTTCAATGACAAGTTGTCATCTCATACTTTGACAGTATTTGGTTTTCAACATTTCATAGCTATTGGTTGCTAAAATTTGTTGATTGGAACTTGAAGCTCATTCGCTGTATTTAACGGGCTGTTACCCTATAGGTGGAGAATAACGGACTGTTGTTGGTGAAATTGGCCCTAAATGTTACAATTATTCTATTGGCAACTATCTATGAGTTCGACCGTCTGCTACTGTAATATGAATTACTTGTGATTGATTCTACTTTTTAGTTCGGTTAGCTATGAAAGCGTGTTTTTTTAGATTTTATAAACTATTATTTATTTTCCATTTTTTAGTTCAATTCATCAATTAGTTATTTGTGGACATGTGGAATTTAAATGTCTTACGAATCCTTTCGTAATCTAATCATTTCGTTTAAAGCTTCACTGTTGCATGGGGCGTTTCCTGTTAACTTAGAGCAATCAAGTTCTTCATCAAATACCGTCTAAAGATCTTACACGAATAAGTGCCACATAAGCTTGTTTAGTAGCAAACAGTCGCGAGTCTTTATAAATGACTGCATGATCGACTGTACAACGTTGCATCTTGTGGACGGTCGATGCCCAACTCAGGATTAATGGCAACATTTGTCTCTCAGCAGTTAAATAGCTGTATTTCGCTGGAAACTGCATCGATATCTATTTAATCATGTGCTCACTATCTGAACCGAAATCAATACGGACAATAAGAAGTCTTTTGTGAATCACAATTATCATATAATATATTATATGATTATTATAAACAGCAATTTGCGTATATTAGACTCATAAGTAACTGCACGCATGCGCAGATCGCGCGCTAGCTCTATATCTCTTACTCCCCTGCAGAGGATCTATAAAAGAATTTATCAATCCTGGAGGTCCTAATAAGGATAATAGAAAACTGTTATCAAATTTTTGCTTTGTCATCGGTCCTTGATACGTGTGCGAAGTTTCAAATTAATCAAACTTCTGAAATTTGTTAAAAATTATGATCAAAGATTCCGTTACATATATACATACATACAGGCTAAGCTAATAAAAGCGTATTAAAAAATAAAAATAAAAAGGTGCACCACAATATGCCTCCTGTGAGGATTAAACTCACGACCCCTGGTTTACAAAACCAGTGCTCTGCCACTGAGCTACAGTGGCTCGTAGTTTCAGTATTCGTAAAGCGGCATTTGAAATCCGTGGCTTTTTATTAACATATCTGCTTTTTCTGTTATCAAATTATTGCATTGTCATTAGTTTTTGATACGTGTGCAAAGTTTCAAATTAATCAAACTTCTGGAAATTGGTGAAAATTATGCTCAAATATTCCATTACATACATACACACAGGCCAATATAATAAAAGCGTGTTGAAAAAGAAAATCAACTACATGAGCCTCACTACATGACTATGTGAGCTTATTCTACGATAGGAAGGTTCGCCATTCGTTGATTTTTGTTCAAATTTTTTGTTATTAACCCGTAACTGTGAGACACCCTTTCAATTGTTTTGGTACTTTCCCCTCCGCCTATCTACGCGGACGAGACGCTATGTACCTTCGTGGATTTGCGAGTGATTTTATGTTGGCGGGTGTCTGTAAGACGTCAGATCTGTGTAAGAGGAATTTTGTTTACAAGATGAATATTTATAATTTATGATTATTTTGTTAGGTTTTTGGTATGGAACACAAAAATTTATATGGTCCTTCAAAACGAGTGAAGTATACGGACCCAAATTTCGAGGAAACTCTTTTAAGATGGTTTGAGGAGGTTGATTCCTGCAATTCTGCTGATGAGGGCGATGACGTGGCTGACAGCGATTTCATTTTGAGCGACCATGATAGTGAAAGTGAAATTGATCTAAATTATAATGAGGGCATCGATATGACACGTGAATCGGATGTATCAAATTCATCTGGTGAGGAGAGGTCAAGTGAAAATAACACATCAAGATATTATTATGGCAAAAACCGCTTCAAGTGGTCTTCCAGTCCTGCTTTTGTAACAAATACCAGAACCTTGAATCATAATATCATCTTGAAATGCCCAGGACTAAAAAATATAGCCGCGACAGCATCCGATCCAATGACTACGTGGAATATGTTGTTCACGAATGACATTTTAGAAATTATCTTGCAGTGGACAAACACAAGTTTGGCACAGTTTCGTACAAAATTTAGGAAAGATACCAGCGATCTTCGCGATATGGATATTATAGAATTGCAAAGCTTTCTAGGAACTCTTCTGATGACCTCTATTCTCAAATCCAATAATGAAGAAATTAGATCTATATTTGCCACAGATGGTTCTGGTAGGGACATTTTTCGTTGCGTAACAAATTCAAATAGGTTTGCAATGATTCTTGCTTGTTTTCGGTTTGATGACAGGAAAACCCGTGCTGAACGAAAACAAACAGATCCACTAGCTGCGATTTCGGAAATTTTTGATACTTTCATCAAGAATTGCCAATCTGTATATACTACAATTGGTACTGGTGTATGTATTGATGAAATGTTGGTGTCCTTCCGAGGGCGCTGAAAATTCAAGATATACATGCCAAACAAGCCATGCAAATATGGATTAAAAATCATGGCGTTAACTGATGCCAGAACGGGATATCTTTTCAAGGCGTATGTGTATACTGGTAAAGACAGTGACGGCTACTCTCTACTATCTGATGAAAAAAAAAATTCCAAATAAACCCAAGCAATTATCCGCCTCGCAAAGCCGTTATATGGTACAAATAGAAATATAACGGCTGATAACTGGTTCTCCTCAATAGAAGCAGTCACTTTACTAAAAACAAAGGCATTGACCTACGTAGGGACACTGAAAAAGAAAACAAGAAGGAGATACCAGTCCAATTTCTTCCTCAAAAAAGTAGACAGGTCGGATCATCTATATATGGCTACACAAAAGATCTGACGTTACTGTCTTATACACAAAAAAAGAATAAAGCTGTGGTGCTGATTTCATCGATGCACCATAATGAGTCTACGGATCCTGAAACAGGGAAACCAGAAATAATAGCCCACTATAATTTGACAAAAGGAGGAGTTGGCGCACTCGATGAAAAATGTACCGTTTACTCATGTAGCAGGAGGACTCGTCGCTGGCCTATGGCCATACTTTATAGGATGGTTGATATTGCATCAGTGACTGCCTATATCCTCCAAACATCTTTTCGAGATAACACGGAGATTTCGCGATATAACTTCATAAAACAATTGGCAATGCAGTTGATAACGGCGGAGCTGAAACGTCGTTTCGGCAACCCACGTATTTCTCGAGAAGTACGCATGAACATAGGGCGCATCCTCCAGACAAAAGAAGAAATTGAAGTTGGTGAAGAGGAGAAATTAGCCGTGAGAAAAACCTGCAGAATTTGTCCCTCTAACAAAAAAAGAAGAACGGTCTATTTATATAAGTAAATCTATGCCTTGCAATTTTTTTATGCTAAATTTGTTTATGTTACCTTTAAGATTTTCTGAATGAGTTATATTCATGTTTTATAAATCAAATTAAATAAACACTGTTTTTTAGTATGTTAAGAATATTTTGTGGCAAAATATATTATGTGCCAAAATCCAAAATTGTTGCTTCAATAATCAGAAACTATTTTCCTGCAAACAAACGTTTTAGTATTTATCCATTTGAATACTTTTATTTTGTGCTCAGTAGACCTAGAATAATAACCAATTTCCGAATAAAGTGATTAAAAAATATACAATGGCAATTTTTGATAAAATAACATTGCCGTCTGAGAGACGTCACGTCTGATAATTGAGCAAAAAATATTGATATTTACGTCGACCAAAAGCATTTCAAAATCAAGGATCGGCAGGAGGCTGGAAAACGTACCTGTGCGTGAGGCTAGACCACGTGACGTCAGTAGCCAGACACACCCCGCTAGCTGGCCCGCTGCAGTTACCGTTCTCACAACAACGCCCCAGTAATCGGTTTGGAGTAGTTAGAGCTGGTAAGATAGATTATTGTTAAATTCTCTGAATTTTGACGGTGTTAAATGTCGAACAGAAAGTGGTGTTTTGTGCCAAAATGTACAAGTAGGTACGTCAAGTACAACACCACAAACATTTTTTACGAGTATTCCAAAAGCTACTGCACAACGTAGTTTGGGGCAGCTAGACGGGATGTAAAATTAGTTTCTTCCACCTCGACCATGTATTGCTGCGAAGATCATTTTGACCTGGAAAAAGATACGGAAAACTATCTACAATACAAGATGAGTACCGGTCGAGCCCGGATGAATCCTAATATTGCACCTCATAAATTTGCATGTCAACTGGGTAGACAATCAAACTCTACGAAACGAGTGTTTAGCGAAAAAAGGGCAAGGCAGAAAGACATCGCCAAATATTTGCAGCTACCGGCGGCACGCCGGGCGGAACCCTCAACCGAAAAATCCGAGCCTGAAGGCGTGGAAGTTATTGATGAAGTGCCTGAACCTTTAACAGTAGAAGTTCAGTCACAGGTATGTGACAAGGCATGCCAAACCAAACAGGTACATTTTAGAAGCAAGTCAGTTCAAATCTCGCAAAAACGGAAAGTAATGGATGTTGCTGTATCGCCAATAAGAATTCCTGCGCTTGCTAACCAGATTTCAGAGCGGCCAAAAAAACGTTTGCAAGTGGAAAGTGAACGGGCAAATCTTGAAAGTCCCGAAATAACAGAACCATCCGAATCTGATTCGTACGAAGCCAGTGGATGCAGTACTGAAAGTAGTGACAGCGAAGCTGACCAGCTTACTGCCGAGATCGAACAGAGCAGTATACTTTTACTTATCAATGTTGTAGAAAAGAACCTCAGACTGTATACTGGCGTTCCAGTCATTTACTCAGAGTTTATTGAAATATTACACAAACGAACTGGTTTGCAGAAATATCATATATATGTAACGTTATACAAAGTTAGAACTTATGATTCTTTCCAAAAGATTGGGCATTTGTTTGGCACATTAAAGACATGTGCAAGTGAAATTTTTACACAATCCATTTAAATTATGAAACCGGTTATGAAAGAATTACTGTTTTGGCTCAAGTTCACAAGTTCAGTCTATAATCGACTGTTTTGAAATTCAAATTCAAAAACCAGCAAATAAAGTACACAAACGTCAGTCCCAGTTTATATAAATCCGTATTCGTATACTCTGCACTCCCTATACAAGCCAATACAAGATACAAGTACTCTATGAGGGCGACAGCACGTGTCTGGCTACTGACGTCACGCGGTCTAGTCTCGCGTATAGGTACGTTTTCTAGCCTCGCGTTGATCCTTGATTTTAAAATGCTTTCCGCCGACGTGAATATTAATATTTCGCACTCAAATTTCTTTGACCGTTTTTTTAATACCAAAATCCCTGGATTTTAATTAAAATAACAGAAATCAGAAAAATGTCGAAGCGTCTTATTGTATGACGTAAGCTAGTTGACTAATGTTTGAACCTCTACTTGTTGACACCTATCAAGTGTCCTTTACTCGTTAGGATTAGCCTTAGATCCTTCTTTGGGATAGACTGGTACCGATAGCATTTGTTTTTTGTTGAAATATTCGCAAATACATCTGCCGCAGCCTTGATCGCTTGCCATCGTTCTCCCACACATAAATCCCAGCTCGACAAATTCATGCCTACACTGTTTGATTATGGCGACATTTTCGCAATGTATAGTGGAGATCTTGGGTACATATTCCACAACACGCAACAGTAAACATCCTCATCTATCGACGAAGTGATGCGTATCAGCGATACGTTCACTCAACCGTTCAGTTTGTCTCTTAAACTGTTTGAACAGCCCTGTTGATTCCTGTCCGTTTCTGTCCATGTTTAATGGAGCCAGTTGAGGCCAAATGATTAAAGTGAGCTTTATATCTCTCCAACGAATTTCTTAGTGACTATTAAAAATGACTTTACTTTATAGCGTACGGGGTTGATACATATGCTCCACCTCTGACCCCAGTGTTATGATTTATTTTTCTACCAAGTGCCACCACATCCATCCAGCTACGCGCTACCATAACGCATCTCTGGCCAACCGCGACTACATAGCTCAGCTGCAGCTTGTCCGAAGGCATCCCAATCAGCAACGTAGTGGTATAAGCTTTTGGTAAAAGAACCGATCAGCCATAAAATCTCTCTATTGTTGTTGCCTGAACACCAAAATGCTGGCTTAATGTTGTGTGGAATACAAATTTGCTTTCTGCAACATATTTGCTCTAAAATGAGGTGTTTAAGATATTCTTATAGCATAGTTATCCAACACCTTATAGGACAAATTTTTAACTGTTGCATAAACGTTTATACAACTATTTTATACGGCATATTTGCACGTTAGTCAAAATGGTTGTATTTCTGCTGTCATATTTTTGTTAAAATGCCATAACCAATGTTTTAAGACAAACAACGCATGCATATTGGTTCAAAAGGTTTTATCAACTGTTCAAACAGAAGATATAGATCTGATACAAATTCTGGGTAAATCATTGGACTCTGTCGGTATTTCATTTCAGACATTTGTCAAATTGTTGTATAACACCTGCAGGCAACACCAAAATATTCTAATGAACTAAAGACAACATGGACGATACCATGATTATACACAACCACCCGCCATATTGGGCAAACATTTATTCCTCTATTTGATATTAAATAATTATGTTTCAGTTCGAAAGTACAGATATAAAGTGATAAACATTATTGTAATTGTGTCTAGATATAGGATTTGTGGAAGATTTAACGCAGATAAGTTCAGTTTTCCATCTTAAAAATCTAGACATACTTTTGATCATTATCAAAATATGAATCAAATACGAAGCCCGTAGAAATTGCGTAACTACTTTGCACGATAATCACAATAAAATTTGCTGCGCAAGTAATTCAATAGCCCTATATCACAGTGT